GGCTAGATTTGGGGGCTGTTGGCGCGGGCTCAGTTTTCTGATGCCAGAGAACGGCTGAATGTGCCAACAGCAAGTGGGTCAGATCTGGCTCTCGGTGTTAAACAGCAACGTCTACCACATTAGCTTTGGATGCTAATGCCGGTTTTAGCGTCAATACTTCAAACCAGTGAGCGTATTCCCAGACTGTCAGTCACATTTTGTTCTCCAAATATTGACTATTAGGTTCTGATTTGTACAACCACCTGCTCACTATACATTATCTTCCCTATTAGTCTGGCTGCTAGCTAAAACCAGAGCTAGCTAAGATCAAACTTACTTACCCACAGATCCTACAGTCTGTACACCTCCATGGAAACTGATCTTTACGGCATACTGAAAAAATAAACATTTCATTTCAAGGTGAATTATCATCAGCTTGCCTAACATCATTATTAGCGTTCTTATGAGCTTTGCAATCTGCTAACGCACACGCTTGTTCCGTGATCGTCCTCTGTATTTCTCTTCTATATATCGGGGCTTCGGGGGCGGAGCTTGGATTGGTTACATATGAAATCTCACTGTTTCTGAACCTGAACCTTCTGCCAGAGATTCACAGAGATTTGAATGGAGAAATAATCAGAAAAGCAATTTCGCATTTAATTTTCTCATGATATGTCCTGTAGCATCATAAAAATGCCATATGAACATATGAAAAACAAGAAAAACATGATTTTCATCGGAACCGGTCTTTAATTGTTACAAATCACATTAAACTGAACAAACCCATTGAAAGTAATATAAGTCACAATGAACTGGACACCTGCAGGAATATTTATGTGTCCTTATAAAGCTCCACTTCTCAGATTTCTGCAGCTGACATCCTTTTAAACATAAAGATCAAACCTTTTAACATCACTGCTATCATCCCTATATTAAGAGTTAAAGGTAAGAGTTCAGCTGAAGGCCGTTTAAAGCCGACAAAGATTGTTTTTGCCACAGTGTCAACAGGCCGAGGTGACATGTGTTGACTCCTTTGCTCAGATTTAAAATTATGTGATCTAACCCACCGAGCATTTTTTTCTCTAAAAGAGGTCTAATAGACGTCTAGATGTAGCCTAGACAACTGGTCTGAAACCAGGCTACCACAGGTCTAAAAATTAAAGTTTTTTAGACATCTAAATTCAGACCAAGTTTGGACCAAGTCGAAATCTGGGTTATATCTATACTACACTGTATTTTGCTCAACGGCTATCATAACTATTTTGGTTTAGTACTTGGAGATCAGTTTTGAAACTCACAGTTGCTTTTTAAAATAAATAGTTATCGTAGATTGGGTTAAAGTGCAATGTCAAAAATTTCCGTCTAAAAATATACTGAATCTAGACAGTCGAAATTAGGTCTTAAAAAAAACTAGATGTCTAATAGCCGTCTATTGCTCAGTGGGTACTGTCGCCATTGCTGTTGAGAACCCTTGTTATGAGGTTTTAACCAATCAGAACCAAGTATGTCAAGTGTCACCTGTGATGAAGTGACATTTGACAAAAAAACCCCTCATAATTCTGACTTTTAGCATCCATATTGATTGAATTATTATTATTGTGAATATTTTGAGGAAAATGCAAAATTTCTTTGGTCACTTTGCAGACACCGACCCTCCTCTTTCCTTGTGGCCTTGTTTGCTTTTGCATCAATATGAATTTCATTCTGTTCCATTTTTGTCAATAAAAAGAAGCTTTAATCCTGCTTCATTTTATGGGAAACCAAAGGATATCGCAAACTACACCCCTTCATTTTAGGAGATTCTTCTTGTTTGGAGTCTGCGCATGCATCTGTGTTTGGGGGTCTATTTCTTAAGGAGGGATGACCACTACCCCTCAATCCTGAAACCAAAACAGTACTTCCTCTGAAACGACTCCATTTCAGCGAGAACCACTTTCTGCGATCCCTCCAAAAATGAACACTTTAATTTTCCATTTTGGCATCCACACCGAAGCAAACGGTAATAAAAGAGCGAGAGAAGAGTCCAAAACCATTCAATACATAACTGCTAAAGAGCCACTCCGCTACTTACGCACAACATGTCCTTTATTTTCATCTGTTGCTACTATGAGAGAGAATTTCCAGCACTACAATCCAAAACAAAAACACTGAGAAATATGTTATTTCCCCCCCGAAAGGAAAATGATTAGAAAATGAGCTTTATTGGATGGGCAAGCCTCGAATTAAAATTGATTCCAATACAGAGGAAGCAAAGCTAAAAAGTATCCCTGAAATTATAGAGGAAGTACTGTACTTAATCCTGCAGAGCTTCCAACACCAGAACCGATCCATCTGACCGGTTAAATTTAGCGTAAAACTAACACACAAGTAAATGCAAATTGATATGTTGCACTAAATCTGTTCGGTGAGAGTGAATTTTTGCACTTTTTTAAACTCATTATGCAGAGTCTTTTATGAACCGGGAAGCGTCACATTTAGAGCAAAGTGCTCTTGCAGCGGGGAGTCGAATGAAAAGCAGCTCATTTGACGGTGACAAAAAGCAGCGCATGTGAAGAGACATCCATCGTGGTTATATTCACCCGACACTCAAAACAACTCCGCTGGTTAGTGGCCCCAAATCAATACGAGTGATTCAAACCTTTCCATGAACAGGGTTTGTTTTTATTAACCCTGACTGGTGCTGAGGGAAAGGGTGAATCATAAAGGACGTGATCTAATGTGTGTGTGTGTGTGTGTGTGTTTATGGGTATGGACCGGACACCAGAACATGTTGTGCCACATACGCAGCCAGAGTGCCGTGACAGCAGGCAGCCATGATGAAAAGACGCTGGCTCGTCACACAATAAGAGGACTGTTTGGAAATGAATGTGTGACGCTGAAAAATTAATCTGTCATTTGCTGGTCTGTTGCTATTCGCATCTCTGTTTACTTGGGTTTGACTCCCTTATACTTAGAGGGGTAAAATTATCTGGAGTTAATGTTAGCATGAAAAAAAAAAAAACACACAAACTCCTGAGGGAGATGGAGAAACAGAAAACCAGAAGGAGAGGGTAGTATTTTTCTAAAAACCTGCTGTTTTTAGCGTTTGCATGCACTTAAAATGAAATATACCTAAAGGGAAATGTAAACAAAGCAGGTGGTTATGGGAAATAGAATCCCAGCGGGGTAAAACAAGACCTCAACGTGGAGCAGAAGGACCCCGTTTTACCTTTAACACCTAGTTGTGTGGCGGTTTTAGTCGTGGGCTCTTAGAGTATCTATCTATCTATCTATCTATCCATCCATTCGTCAGCCTGTCACATATTATCCAACAACCAACTAGGATTGCAGCCACGAAAAGTCTGTCTGCTGTTTCCATGGCAACTGTATTCCCATCAGTCTACTTTTTGAACTTAACATTTTAATTCCCATAATTTTTTTTAATGTTAAACTTGAATGTTTTTCGTCCGGCGCTTTCTTTTCATCGCTAATTGTAGTTTCTTTCCATCTGTTTTCTTCGATTCGGTTGATGTCTCTTTCATTCTTCTCCCTGTTTTATAAGTTCCTCTTCCTCTTGACTTTGTTTCTCTGCTGGTAGCCGGTCAACCATTGACCATAAATCCAAATTTTTGTGTGTGCCAACTATGAGTAATGTTAAAAATATCAACTATATTGTTTACCGATGCTAATCAGAGCTAACATATTTGCCACGGCGTCAACTCCGTTTATGGCGTTGATTTTATATGATAAGTGTTTCGTAGTTTTCTCTGACAACTAATTATAGTTATGTGGTTTTAAGCCAGTCAGAACAAAGTATTACAAACATAACACAGTAACACTTTATTTGATGCCTATCTAGTATTTTATCATGACTTACAAGGTCAGGTATTATCATGTGTTATAACTGTGTATCTATGTGGACATGGTCAGTGAGTTGTTAACAGTTATAACACATTATAATATCTGACCTTGTAAGTCATAATAAAATGCTTTATCATGTGTTATGACTATTGCTATAAATTATTATGATCATTTATGAGTGTTTATAACTATGGTTATACAGTGCTTTAATATATATTACATGTATTTATAATGTGATACAGAGATAGGCGTCAGATAAAGTGTTACCCATAACACTAACAACGATGAGAGCAGATATGAGACATTTAAAGTTAAGACTTTTTGACTTTGTCAGGAACCTCTATTTCAACAAAATAAAAACTAAAACATTAAATTGACTAAATTATAAAATTCTCTTATTAAAATTATGGCACTTGTCGTGTTAGGGTCACTGTTGACGTGGTTAGATCAATATCTAATAATTAGAGCAAAAACTAAAATCATATATTCACTGACGTCAGATCCTCTTCCAATCATGTGAGATTTAGGAAATTCTCACTTTGCCATGATTTTACCTGCACAAAAATCAACATCGGGCATGTCCAGACATGTGAGATCAATATATGAGGGGTATACTGACAAAGAAAGGCCCAGAAGCTCACTGCAGAAACTATTATAAGCGATATTTTCATGGATAATATAGTCTAACAATTTAACCTCGAGATGAGAACCAAACTGGATAATAGAGAATTGTTTTTAGTGTAATTTACAGCTGATTTAAGACATGAGTCAAAACCGACTTTTGCTTTTGTGTATTTGTTTGTGTTACTTTCAGTTTAGGGTGATACAACTTTATATATCCTAAAACTGTAAATAACAGATTCTATAATCTTATAAGTGCTTTGAATGAAACCATGAAACCATCTTCAGTCAACTTTTCCTACAAAGCTCATACAACAACACAATTTAAGGCAGGAACTTCTAACCACAGGGCAACTCAGCGTGGTTTTGTTTTTGAGTGAAAGGAAGCAGAAGTGCAACACACTAAACTCCGAGCTGCTCAGGATGTTTGTGTCCCTGCAAGAGTTTACATGATCTATAAGAAGAGCATGAACAAACTTATATAAGTCCTTAAACCTGTGTGCAGAGTTCACGTATGCATCAGTGTGTTTTCACATAGATGTGTCATAAAGGCCCACCTAGTCGTATCTTAACTTCCTGTTCGCATCAACAAGAGCCGTTCAGAAAACCACAGACAGGTCACGTGACGCAGCAGGTCTACAAAACCGTCTGTGTTCGCGAGCTGAGCGAATCGGCCTTTTGATCGGTTAACAACCGCCGAGGCTCTATTTTTATTTCACAATGATGCTGAAGAAACTCTTCCTGTGAAAGAAACACAGAAACCATCAAAAGAGGAAGAGGAAGAGGAAGGGCAGGAGTGGAGGGAGAGGTGATGGCCACTTCTGATGAGAACTGCAGTCCTGTTAACATCGCGAGTGGTGAGTTAGATTCAGAGCTCCTGTTCTGGTTTAATTTGATGTTGTTTAAATATGAAGTATGGTTGAGTGAAGGAGCTTAAATTTAAAACAGAAGTGAGGTCAGGTGTAGAAGAATGAACGACTGAAAGCAAAAGTAATTTTAAGTTTGAGTTACAGAGTCTGTACTTGATGTCACCTGCCGGTAACCAGTTTTATACAGCTGTTCAGACGGCGCTGACACAGCAGCCATTTTACCCTGACTTCTGACTTACAGGTGTTAGCTAAAAGTTGATGTAATGTTACCTAGGTTTGAAATTGTTGCAAACAGTGAACTTTCTACAACTTTCTACATTTTTCTAAAGATGTGTTTGGTAACCCGTCAAACACCAACAGCTACATCCACCTCAAGATCAAGTTGGCCGTGTTCATCGATGTGAGTGTAGGCTGTATTTTTTCGGTAAAAGTTTATATTTAAAAGCTGTTTGGAGACAGACAGCAAGGTGTGTTAATGCTCAAACGCCTCCTTTCTCAGGATAACCCTTTCGAAACCAACAGGTTAGTTTAGAGTATAAAAATACCCCTTAGATACCGACAGTTTAGTAAAAACAGCAAACGTAAACAGCTACCAATCAAAGTCAAGAAAACCTATCAGTACTATCTAACTGTGTTCTTCTTTGTTACTTTAAGCTAGCATTTTTCTTAGTTACATAAAAATGTTGGTAACTCATTTGGTACAAACAACCATTTCTCAGCTTATACTGTTTGATTTGTAGGTCAAAAACTTAAAAGTCTTTACATGCCAAAAGCTAAGTAACGACTAGTGTAAAGTTTTACCGCCTCTCGCTAATGACTTTTAGCGACATTTCAGAAAAGGAAATAAAAAGTTAACCTATTAGGTACAAACAGCGAAGTAAAAGTAGTTTTTGTGACTAGCTAACCACTTTCTTGCTAACACTTGTATTTGCTAGCATACTTAGTAGGACCATTCATCCTCTTTTTAGGGGGGATGTCGGGGTTTGTCAGGGGAAGTTTATAAAATCCTTCAAATGTTCGCAGTTTTGTACTCAAGTTTCGATTTTGTGTCACGTGGACTTACTGAGTTAGAAGCACATACCAGACACTCGATCCAACCCGAAAAACTCTAAATTTACTTTATGCGACTCGGTGACTCTAAGCTCCTGTGAAACGTTTTTATACTTCTTTAAAAGAGACTGAAATTTGCTTTGTCGGCTTTTTATTATATCCAAAAGCAAACAAGAGCGTCTCATGATTAATCGTGTGACAGCCTTAATGTATATATAAGGAGCAGAGGGACATGGGACTCAGGAGGAGATGTCCATTCGTCCCATTATTTACATCTGTGTGTCAAGTTATACGCAGATGACTGATTCTTCTATTTTTCTGTGTTTTGTGTCATCCAGATTGTCCGGCACGAAGCACCGAGGAAGTTCTTCTCCCTTTCTTCACGGATGAAAGTCTACAGACCACCATGGACTCACAACACCCTCAACTCGTCCACAGCGCGTCTCCACCTGCTCTCCCAGAACTCAGACTGGTCCTTCTGGGTCGCAAAGGGGCTGGAAAGAGCGCGGCGGGCAACACCGTTCTGGGCGGAGTAGGAGGCTTTGAGAGCGGGAAGCCGACGGAAGAGTGCGTGAAAAGACGAGCAGATGTGATGGGGAGAAAAGTCACGGTTGTGGACACTCCAGGGTGGGAGTGGTACTACCCGCTGAACAGCACCCCCAACTGGGTGAAGAAGGAAACTTTACGGAGTGTGTCGCTTTGTCCTCCTGGACCTCACGCCGTGCTTCTGGTGGTGCGAGCACGTGCTGCAGTTACAGAGGACTACATCAGGGAGATGGAGGAGCACCTGGAGCCGCTGGGGAAAGGAGTTTGGGACCATACGATGCTGCTGTTCACCAGGGGGGACGAACTCGGCCTGGTCTCCATGGAGCAACAAATCCTGACGAGCGGGAAAGTACTCAAGGGACTTCTACGAAAGTGCGGGAACAGATATCACGTTCTGGATAATCGCAGCAAAGGAGACGGCGCCCAGGTGAAGGAGCTGATGAGGAAGCTGGAGGAGATGGTGGAGAAGAAGGACGGGAGCGGACATCTAGAGACGGATAACATAGCTCTGCAGGGATTGGAGGCCGACGGGAAGAGGAGAGCGAGAGAGAGGAGGAAGAAACAGAGACAAATGGAGGAGCAAGTGCAAAGAGGGACGATCAGAGCCGCTCTAATGAGTGAGTTATTCATGCCGATAATTGCACATCATCTACTCCACTATCTGCTCCACTTCACTAAACATATAATTTTATTGATATTCAGGTAGAAACACAACTAGGAAGTTTTGCAGCTTCATGCAGTTTGTTCTTGTTTTGTGTCTGATTGAGGAGATGAGCTGTCGGCATCTCCACTTCCTCCTGCACACAGCTGCTATTAGTGTTGGGTGGTATGAACAGAATCTTGTATCACGGTATGTTTTTTCCCCTGTAAATTCAATTAATGGCTTAAAAATAACCATACTTTCGCATTTGTTCATTGTCGGACCAGTCTGGTGATTTTTTTATCACATGGCATACCTTTGTTGAAAGACTCTGTCAAGCTCTTTTGTATAAGAGGAGCTGCTGCAGCTTTAGTTTTTGGTGCAGCAGGTGCGCCATGCATCTTATGGCACTAATAATAGAGCTTAGCGAGTTTCATCTTTAGGTGGTGGTAGAGGGTGCTGGTGTTTCCTTCTCCAGCAATGACAGCCACATGACACTCTTTGCATAGTATTGTTTTTTGATCATTGTCAGATTTCCAGACAACTGATGTTGCGACGTCTTGCGCCCTTTTACCGGAACGAGTTTCTCCTCCTCTTCCTCATGTTGGGTGGGTCGGGCTGCCTTTGTTTGGTCGGTACTGCCACTAATCTCCGTGTCCGCCATGACCACCACCAGTGAAGCTGTTTCTTCTTCATCAAGACTATGCCAAGCAGTCTGCTGGATATGCTGGTGATTATAGGGAGTGTACCCAAACCTGACCAATCAAACGGAGCGAACAAACTCCGCACGACACGCTGGTGAATATACGGAAACGCACCCAAACTGATGCGCTCCGGCTTTCCTGTTAGCGAGCAGAGACAACAACACACTGACTCAGAGAGATGAAGCAGACATCTGCTCTCTCTCTCCAGTATAAACGGTATCCCAAGATTTCTACCGGTAGACAGTTTCATACCGTCACACGGTATATCGTCATACCGTCCAACAGTGGCTCGCCCAACAGAGCGAAACTACATCCCAGATGCCAAAAACTCAGACGAATACAGGTTTTGTTTTCATAAACAAGACAATAACAAGGTTTTAAGGGTTTTCAGGTGGCACCATCAACTTTCAGCATGTACCTTTCTTTGTTCCAGGTGATGGTCTCCAGAGCTCGCAGCTGGACGCCCACCAGTCTTTCTCCAAGTCTCCTCGTCGTCTACCTGAAGTCAGACTGGTTCTCCTGGGCGAGCGTGAAACTGGGAAGAGTTCTGCTGGGAACGCCATCCTGGGCAAAGCCGGCGTCTTCCAGGCTGGAGAGGTGACAGAGGAGTGCAACCATCGGCAAGCGGAGGTGGCCATGCGGATGGTGACGGTGGTGGACACTCCGGGATGGGAAGGAGGGATAGCGGGCGCCACACCTGAAAGGGTGAAAAGGGAGATAGTTAATAGTGTGGCCTTGTGTCCTCCAGGGCCTCATGCACTCTTGTTGACTCTGAGGGTGGATACGCTCGTGAGGGTGGGGCATGTGAAGGAACATTTGGAGCTTCTGGGCGAGGGCGTCTGGAGGCACACTATGTTGTTGTTCACCCATGGGGACCAACTTCGAGAGGGGGTGGATATCGAGCAGCACATCCAAGGAGGAGGCAAGGACCTCCAGTGGCTGCTGGAGAAGTGCAGGGGCAGGTACCACGTCATCAGCAGCGTCGATGGAGGTCGAGGAGGAGGCCCCAGTATGGTTGGAGATCTTCTGCACAAGGTGGAAAAGATGGCCTCCATGAACAGATGCGAGGCTTTCTCTGGTTTGGTGAAGGAGGTTCAAGATCTAAGCCGGCAGAGGAATGAGAAGTTCAACCAGCGCCTGAAGGAGATAGGGGACAAAATGCAACGGCAGGAGATGGAGCTAAAAAACATGAGAGAGAGGGAGATTAAGAGCCTGAGGAGGATTTTCGACTGGAAGAGGAAATCCAAATCACCCGGGAAAGCAGACATCCAGAAGGAAGAGGAGGAGGATGAAGACAAGAGAACGGGCGAGAAGAAGAACGATTACGGGGATCTAGAGGAAAGGATGCAGTGGCTCACAGAGGATAAAGAGAGGGAGATTCAGGATCTGAGCATCGAGAACGAAAGGATTCGCGCCGCGCTGAACCAGAGCGGAAAAGAAAAAGATAAGGCGATGCTAAACCTGGAGCTCAAAGACAGAGAGATTGAGGAGCTGCAAGAAAGACTCGACGAGCAGCAGGCGAAGCTGCTCGATCTTGAACGTGCCACCGCGGAGAAAGACCATGAGAGGAAACAGAGAGAGGAAGCTATGAAGACGGAGAAGCAAAAGTGGACGAGTCAGGAGAAGAAACTGATAGAAAACATGGAGCTGCTGGAGGAAGAGAAGACGGAGATGGTGCAAAAAGTTGAGTCTTTGAAAACAGAGATCATAGAAGTGAAAGAAGAGTTCGCTAAAACTCTGGAGAAAAACAAGGAGATGGAAGAAAAGCTGAACTTAAAGCTGCAGGAAAAGGAAAAGGAGGCGGACGAACTGAGGAGGAAATTCTCAGAAGAAAAGCAGAAAATCCTTGAAAATGAAAGAAACATGCAGAGAAAAGTCGAAGAGCTGAAATCACAACATGAGAAAGAGATAGAGAGAAACATTCACGAGAAAGAAAGAGAGATCGAAGACATGAAACTGCATCACCAGAGAGAGATGGAGAACCTGAAGAATAAGATGGAGACGATGAAAGTTCAACACCAACGAGAAAAAGAGAGATTCGAGAGAGACACAGAGGAACGAAAGCAAGCGAATAAAAGAGAGACGGAAAAATTAGAAGAGAAGTATTTTGTCCAAATAGAAGGAGCGATGCAAGAAAACGAAAAAGAGAAGGAAAAGATCTATCAAAACCACAGGAAAGAGATCGAAAACATGACGCAAGAGAAAGACAGAGAAGTAGAAACGTTAAAACTGCAGCATCAGGATGAGACGGCGAGAAAAATGAACGAAATGCAAAAACTAATGGAGGAGAGAAAAACCGAACAAAAGCAAGAAATAGAGAAAATGTTGAAAGAGAAAGAAGGAGAAGTGGAAAGAGTCCGACAACAATGCAGCGATAAAGTAGAAGACCTAGAAGAAGAAAGACGGAGAGAGATCGAAACGCTGAAACGACAGATTACAGAAGAAACGGAGAAACAAACACGGGAGAGACAGCAAGAGATAAGAGACTTAGAGCAAAAGTTTGACGCTCAAATTAAAGAAAAAGAGCGAGAAAATGAAAAAGAGAGAAAACTGTTGACTGAAAATCACGAAAGACAAATCGCAGAAAAGATGGAAGAGAAGGAGAGACTGACAGAGGAGTTAAAACATCGCCACATCGAGGAAATCGAAGAAAAAGAGAGGGAGAGAGAAAGTCTTGTTGAGAAGTTTGAGCAGAAGGTGGAAGAGAAAGAAAAAGAGATAGAAGAACTTAAAGTGAATGTGAAAGAAGTTAAAGAAAAACTGCAAGAAAAGGAAGAGAAAGAAAAGAAACAGTTTACAGAGATGACAGAACTGGAGCAACAAGTCAGAAGAAAAGAGAAAGAAGTGGAAGAGATGAAGTCAAATCTTCAAGAAGTGGAGGAAAAACTGCGACATAAAGAAGAGGAAAATACAGATCATTTAAAGAATAAGGAAGAGATGGAGCAAAAATTAAAGGAAAAAGAGAAAGAAATCCATCAATTAAAAGGACTCGAGCAAGAGCTGAGTCGACTCAGCGAGGAAAGAGAGAGAGAAACTTTAAATCTGAAGAAACAGACGGAGCAGAAGATCGAAGAGAAAGAAAGAGCGATAGAGAAACTAAAGCAGCACATTAAAGATGTCGATGAAATCCTGCAGAGAAAAGAGGAAGAGAGAGGAGAAACCATCCTGAGTCAGAAGAGAGAGGCGGAACGACGACTGCAGGACAAGGAAGAAGAGATGGAGGAGATGAAACGGCAGCTTTTAGACGACACGGAGAGAAGGGTCAAAGAAAAGGAAACCGAGATCGAGAGTCTCAAACGACAGGCTGACTCGAGAGAAACAAGATGGATGGAAAAGGACGAAACAAGAGAGAGTGAGATGAAGCGACTGCTGGAAACTGTCGAGAAGAAATCAGAAGAAGTTACCCGAACACAATCACTCCTCGAGGAGAGAGACGAGAAATTTGAAAACACGTGTGCAAACTATTTGAGAGAAATCGAAGAGCTGAGAGAAAGCAGTAAAATTCAGATCGCTAGTTTGGTCGAGGTTCAGCAGCGGCAAACGGAACAAGAGAGGAAAAAAAAGGCTGAGATGACGGAGGAATTCGCCGAACTGAGGCAGAGAGATCACGAAAACGAGAAAGAGATCGTCCAACTGAGGCTAACGATCGAGCAAACAAAGTCGGAGCTGAAGGAACTCACGAACAAAATGGAGAAAGAGACGACAAAGATGGTTCAGATGATTCAGGAATACGAGAAAGAGCTTTCACAAAGAAACGAGAACATCCAAACCATCACGAGAGAAAAGGAGTCAGCTCTGAGCTGTTTAGAGGAAAGTCGGCGAAGGGTTTCAGACGTCGGCGAGAAGTTGGAGGAGAGTCAAGGGACGGTCAAGGAACTGCAAGAAGAAAATGAGAAGATGAGAAAAGAGATGGAAAATCTCAAAGTTCAATATGAGGAGCTGAAGAAGGACGATGAGGAAATGAGGAAACATCTCAAAGAGTACGAACAACAAGCACAAAGGAAAGAAGACGAAATCCAGGAGAGAGGCGAAGAAGTCGAGAAGTTACAGGATGAAAACGCCAAACTGCAAGTAGAGATGGATGAGAGAGAAAGGCGGATGAAAGAAATGATGGAAAGACAAAGTGAGTCGAGATTGAAGGACAGGGAGATCGAAGAGGAGATCCTGCAAAAGGAAAAAGACGTAGGAGAAAGGGAAGAAGGTCTGATTCGAAAAGAAGAGGAGTTGATCGAAAGAGGCCGCAAACTTGACGCAAAAGAGGAAGACCTGGGACACATGGATCAAGAACTTCGACAACGGGAGGCAAGTCTTGAAAAACGACACAAGGATCAAGACGAAAAAGATAAACTCGAGAGCGTGAGAGCGCAAAACGTCAAGAGGAAGGAGAGGGAACTGGAGAACCTACTCAAAGCTCTGGAGGGCAAACAGAAAGAGCTCAGTTCTCACGGTCAGGATCTCCAGAGGAAGGTAAGAGGACTGAAGGATCATGGGAAAGAGCTGAAAGACAGAGAGAGCTTCCTACTGAATGAAGAGCAGGAGCTCCTCAACTGGAAGTCGGAGCTGCACATGAGAAACGAACACGTCAACTCCACGACGCAACAGCTGGACGAGATGGGGCGAGACTTGGCTTTGCTGAAGGAGGAACTTCGCAACAAGGAGAGGACTTTGAAGGCCACGTTCGAGAAACTGAGAAGATGGGAAGAGAACCTAAAAGAACGAGAGGAGACTTTGAAGGAAAGAGGATTAGAGAGCGACGAAGAGGAAGGTGAGAGATCAGAGTATGAACAGGTCAGCGAAAGGAGAGGGAAGGAAAGAGGAAAGGAGTCGGACACGAAAGATAGGGAGAAAAACGCAAAGAGTAATAACTGTCACTTTGAAACGCTAGAGGGGATGGAGATAACCGAGGAAGAGGAAGAGATAAGAGGAAGAGAAGTGAAGATGAGACAGAAACAAGACCCGGAAATGTCAGCGATCATTCAGGATTTACAGTTTTTATCTGCGAGTCCGGGTCAGAGCAGCTCCGAAAACAAAGGTTTGAGGGTGTTGGTGTTAGGAGAGTCCTGGTCCCCCTGCTCGCCATCTGGAGTCAGTATCCTGTTTGGAGAGACGCCCAATCTTGGCGATTCCTCCTTCAGATCATGGAGGGGTCAGATAGACGGACGCGGTCTCGAAGTGGTCGAACCTTTAGGTCTAAAGTGGCGAAACGGACCAGATACACCCGACTCAGAGCAAAGGAAAAACATCCGTGACAGCATCTCGCGGTGTCGCCCCGGACCTCACGTCATCCTGCTGCTCGTGCCGGCGTTCTTGAACTGCACGCCGAAGTACAGGAGAGCGGTCGAAGAGCATGTAAGTTTACTCGGTGACGATATCTGGAAACGCACGATGATGCTGTTCACGTGGGGGGAAGTTTTAGGGAAGAGCGCGGAGCAGCACGTCCTGAGGAACGGGGAACTGACGAAGCTCATACGGAAATGTGCGGGAGGGTATCACATGATCACCAGCAAGAAAAACAACTCAGTGGTCGGGCAGTTATTGGCGAAGATGGAGGATATGGTACAATGAAAAGCAGAGCTGAGAAGAGACTGTGAATTTAACTTTAAAAAACAACAATATTTTTAATGTATAAATGTGAAAATAAATGTTTTAATAAACTTGACAGAGCAAGGACAGAGATCGTGTTTTTGTTGTATGTTTGAGTAATTAATGTGCCACAAAGTTAAAGTTCGTACAAAGTTTTGAAGCAATTTTCTAAGCCACATGCTCAAAAGATTATTTTTTGATTTCCTCTGTGGTTTAAAATTGTACAATATTAGCGTGCTTTGTTTTAATTTTGTTGAGGTTTGTAAATTAAGTACAGTTCAACAGTTTCCAAAAGCCGGAAACTTATGAGACAGTATTGATTTGGCTTATGAGGACTCGGTTAAAGTTGGATTTTTCTAAGTACCACAGGTTGAAATTCTGAGACTTTCACTTCAAAACTTGTGACAAAAGTTTAGCTGGTGGTTTTGAAACTTTGGTCGGGTTACACATGCTCAAGAAAAGTATTTTTACCTTATGAAAGTAAAAGTAGCTTTTGTACTGAGGTTATTTCTGTTGCTGCATATAAAACTGTACTCCTGTTAATTTGACAACGACTGTTTCTTCTCGGCATTAATCAAACTGGCGTGAGCTGGTTATCGTCATTTACCATCAAAGTTGACTCACTTTTATTCTTTAATTAACTTCCATAAATGTTTTATTTGGTCCTGAAGTCACAGCACAGTTTTGGTTCGATGCAGATCTAAACGCGTAAATGTCTTTTTGTTTATTGTCCTGTTTGCTAATAATACAAAAGGCATGCTTAAACAATTCAACAAAGTGCTGATTTTTATTTCTCGGTTGCAAAGTTCAGGTACAGACTAATTTTGGGATCTGCTTCAAGGGTCACGAGATAAATTTTAGAGGCTGTTAAGGATAAAATAAACACAAAATAGGGACAATTTTTGGTATCTATATTAGTTTAAAGAGGTAATTAGATTTCGTATGTGCAGGTCAGAGAATCAAGGCGCGGTGAAAAATGTAATGAGCTTCACCATCAGTGATGATCCGATGTTTTTAGGCCTCCTGTCAATGTCAATTCTCTGTTTCTCCTGCTTTAAGCGTTATTACCAATATACACAAGTCATTTTCACAAATGATCCCCATTCAATAAATCTTAACACATCATCTTTCAAATCTGTATTTGTAGTTCTCTTGATTAAGACCTGACGCTCCTGGTCTTGGTATCAAAACACAGCGTTTACGGTTCGAAAGAATAAATCCTTGTGGTTCAGATAAAAAAATAATAAAATAATAATAAAATAATAAAAAAATCTTTAAAATCTATGTTTTTAATTTCCCTGATTGGGACTTGCTGCTGGTCTTATGATTGAAATATGGAAATGGAAGTTCATATAAGCTCCAGGGAGTCATACGGAGGATATAAGGTGAGAAAAACAAACAGCTTTATAATCTGTAATATTTTTTAATATTAGTTTTTTTCAACGTTGGCTTCTTATGGTCTTGAACACAGGAGGGGATCTCACCCTAAAGACTGAAACCTCTGGATTAAAAACTTCATCATGTGTTTTCCTGGTTAACTCCGAATCTAGAAATCAACCGTCTCCTTTCAGACAGAAATATCGTGTATAAGTAAAAGCAGCCGGAAGTTTCAGTGTGAAAACGCCGATATTAAACACTCTGCTTATTAAACGATTCATGTAAATCTTCATCTCTAATTCGCTGCTTAAAAAAATCTCAATGAGGTGTAAATCCACCATCATGTGTGAGCGATCCTCAGACGACCCGAACCGTCCCCCACTGAAAGGACTTCCTTACTCTCTCCACAAGATGGGGGCCTTGTGTCGGTGTAGAGATTATACTCTCTGAGCACCAAAGTAATCAGTGTTCAAAATCCTCCCTGACAAGGAGTTGATGGTGAAAGTATGGTGAAGCTAGTCAAATATTTTTAACCATGTTTTTACAATTTTCCGTGTAAATGGCTACTTTTAAAAGGAAGAGTACACAAAGGCTGACTAGCGGGCCTGTGCTCCATCTTGACTGGAGGCATTTCAGGAGAACCAAAGCATCTCGCAATTATAACCCCGGGGAGCCTCCCGCACGCTGAGAGGACTCCTGCTTTGACAAGTAAATTATGACTCTTGATGAGAGGAGTACGGCTTTCTCAGAATGCAATTTTTGACAGCCGGGGAAAATGCGGGTGGATACATACAACAACTTCCATCATCCTCGGAGCCAGATGCAACAGCCAAAAACACTTGTGTGCAATCATCAGGCTAAAAATTATGGAGTGCGAGTGCTGGTCTGTATCTAACATGGCAGCAATGTTTTTTTAATCTGTCCTTTCAGTGTGAGCTGCCTTTAGAGACGAGATGAGAGGGTGTTGTGTCAAGATGGATCCCTGCTCCTTTGATCATCTCAGCGGGGTGTGACTGTTTTCAAAGCGTCGGGGGAGAAATTAAGGGGAAAAAGGTGCCAAATTGCAGTTGATGTAAGACATAATTTTCAGACGTTTTAGCATAATGTTAAAAAGATATCAGGTATCCAACAAAAACACAGCCATAAAAATCATTAGCGGCGCCCCTTTTTCCTTTTTAAATCCCTGGAGTTTTCATCACATACCTAATTTTTACTTGATTTATTGATTATAAGCTTGGATTGATTACAGAGTGTATGATGGTTGTCTGCGGAAATCAAAGACAGGGTGGTTAGTGGTTTAGTTTTAAGGGTTTTAGGCAGTTTGAGTTTTAAACCTTGTAAAGAGACAAAAAGACAAAAACTTTAAGCACCACAAACATCAACAAGACAGACAGACAGACAGATAGATAGATAGATAGATAGATAGGTTAGCTTTTTATTTCTAAGAGTTAACAATAAGGTAAACATAACAGTCGTGTTTGTGCGTTAGCTTAAAAAGTAGATATGCAGCATCGAAATCTATGCTGTACATAGATAGATAGATAGATAGATAGATAGATAGATAGATAGATAGATAGATAGTCTTTTGGTTAACATCATGCTAATCGTGTTTGTGCGTTAGCTTAAAAAGTAGCTATGCCACCTGTTAGCTAAACAGTTAGCATAAAGGCAGAGAAATGGGGAAGTAGCCTGTAACTCCCTGTAACTTTTATCGACATTAAATCTCTTTCTTGCACTTAAAATATAGCATCAAAATCTATGCTGTTCAAAGATAGATAGATAGGTTAGCTTTTTATCTATGAGAGCTAACAAGAAGGTAAACATCACGTAAGTAGTTTTAGTGCTTTAGCTTAAAAAGTAGCTATGCAGCCTGCTAGCTAAATGGTTAGCATAGAGGTAGTGAAATGGGGAAGTAGCCTGTAACTACCTGTAACTTTTATTGACATTAAATCTCTTTTTTTGCACTTAAAATATAGAAATATAGCATCAAAATCTATGCTGTATATAGATAGATGGATAGATAGATAGATAGATAGATAGATAGATAGATAGATAGGTTAGCTTTTGGTTAACATCATGTTAGTCGTGTTTGTGCGTTAGCTTAAAAAGTAGCTATGCAGCCTGTTAGCTGAACGGTTAGCATAAAGGCAGAGAAATAGGTAAGTAGCCTGTATCTACCTGTACCTTTTATAAACATTAAATCTCTTTTTTGCACGTAAAATACAACATCAAAATCTATGCTGTAGATAGATAGATGGATACATTAGCTTTTTATTTATGAGAGTTAACAAAGAAGGTATACGTCACACTAATGGTGTTAGTGCGTTAGCTTAAAAAGAAGTTATGCGTCCTGGGAGACTGGACAAGAAAATGGGAAGCCATCTGTAATTACCTGTAACTTCAATTAACATTAAATCTCATTTTGGCACATAGAATACAGTGTCAAAATCTATGGTGTAACCCAAGCTAATAAAGTCGTACGTCTCTCAATATCTTTTTCATAGTTGACCTTGTTTCTGGATTCAAATGAAAACTGGAACCAGATTTTCTTATCCGAAAACAAATCCCCCTGACTGAGACAAAATGAACTGCTGGTTTCACCGAGACACACTCTCAGATGTAGGTTTTAAAAGTACAAGAATATAAATGTGTTTTATTCCGGTAACTTTTCCTCATTTCGTTCGGAGCCGTACGGGAGCAAAAACCAGCCCGATATCCGCGGGTTCAAAGGCGAGCTCTTGCTCCGTATCAGCACCGTCACACTGAACGGTGCAAACAGCGACTGATGAAACCACTCTTTGGCACTCATTTCAGTTTTAGTTCAGATTAAAGCAACATGGTAACCCTAATTTATCTTTATTTGGAGCCTTTTAAAGCCTTGAATGAGGCTTTTTGAGAAATATGCACAGGGCTGCATTTACATGCTCTACAATAGACAGAACAGCTCAGTCAATCACGACTACAAATGTTGAACAAAATTACTGGGCTGTGTTAAAACAGAAGTTAATGGCTGGGCTGATTTCTATTAAGGTCTTTGCACTCTCATTTGAATAATGGTCTTTCAAACAATGTTTTTCTTTTCAGTACTTGACCCAGGAGGGAAATAAATGTAATCCTGCTTTAACACCTCCATTAATATTCAAGTGGCTTTAATACTCCAGGTTTATTTCTGACTCACAGTAATTAGCATGGCGGTCTGGAGCTATTTTATGATAAGTCAGGTTCTGATTGTGTATTTGTAGAGGCAGCGGGGATGACAATGGGACTCATTCAGCGTAGATAGACTGAAATGGAAAGAAAAGAAGTCAATACTGTAAAAAAAACAGAGTGAATGGCCTTGAAAATACATAATAACCTCAATACAGAGGACTAACTTAATGTACAATCATTATAGAGGTGGATATGTGTTCATATATGTGGCATTTTCACTCTCCCTTAAATACAACATCATTAATAATCACTTATAAGCTGTTTTTTACCAATGTTTTATAGATTACCAGAAAGTAGGTCAGAAAATAAGGTGGGGACCATCTCTAATTTGATCTTTTAAATAGCTTATAGTAGTAATACTCTGTTTATCATGATTACAGTAAATTACTGTTAATTCAAGGGGCTTTATAGGAAGCTGCTGCATCTTTGATTTCAGGACTTATTAAGATAGATTTGGATATTAGCATCGTTAATTTCTCTGTACTCAGACTGCAAAGGCCAAGGTAGAGTCCAATGTGGCGGACAGGTAGATATTTCCATGATCCTTCCTGAAAAGGTCAACGCTGGTCCTCTGAGGTTGAGGATTTATATTCAACCTGATGGACCATGAGGAGACCCAGATATGCTCCCCTCGAGCCCCCCCCTTCATCTCCCTTCTTCTCCACCCACCTGGGCTACCTCCAGGGGGGGGTACTTTTTAGATAACGTTAGCCTTTCAGGATTACGCCCCCCTCCAACCGGTTACATAAAACCGAAACCATGATTCCACACAGGCCCTCTGGAGTCTGTACCCAAAATAGTCGTCGTGCAAAAAGGAGGGCCGTGAAAGCACAAAATGTTCCTGCTCGGGACAAAAGGGGACGGGCAGATGTCTACAAGAACAGATATGTTAGCTTCGGTTCGCTGTGAGGGGTACGTCAATCATTTTTGGTAATTCAGAGACAGTTTTTATCGAATTTTGAGTTTCACTTCATTTTGAAAGGGATGAATATTACATTTTCATTTTTAGTTTTTGTTTAGTAGCACAAGAGTAAAGGATGGACACTCTAAATACTGTTGATAGTGAATCAAATAACAACATATTTAAAAGTCGTATCATATGTACAAAAACCCTGATGATACCTGCGTCTAAAAAAAGCGTTAGGTGCAGGGAAACATAATTTTAGACGCTGCGCCGAAAATAGCTGTAGCAAAGGAGAGCAATCAAAGCACAAAATGTTCCTGCTGGTGAAGGAGGGGAACCAGATGTCTCTGCAAACAGATGCTCAAACTTCAGCTGATCCCGTCAGGACGGAGGATTGTTGATGCGTGATTATATTCTTTTTTAGAGGAATTTCAAAGTTTTCAACAAAAATGTGGAAAATGTTGAGATCTACTCTCTGGATTTGGCAGTTTTGTGCCCCTCTGTGCTTTTTCTCTCTTCTCCCATGCTGTGTTCCCAAAGCCTGAGAGAAAGAGAGAGAGAGAGAGAGAGAGAGAGAGAGAGAAAGGGATGCTGCAGATGATGAATCCCCCTCTGGACTGCATCCTTCCGGCTGAGTGCGTCCAGTGGGCCAGGGCCAGGTCCTGGAATCTAGCTAATGAGACACACCCCCCGAGGGCCTGTGTCGTCTTATTGGTCGAAAGGCTGGCAACGGACGAGGCGATTGGCTGATGGGGTCCGTGGATGAGCATCTGCCAGAGCGTGTTGCAAATCAAACTCGGAGTATTCATATCCAGCCTGGCCCTGAATGAGCTAAATGAGCAGAGTGAAATGTACACTCCCGCCTGAGTTTGAACGAGGTTAAGAAAGATTCAAAAAAACAAGACGGACATACAAAAATATTAGATTTAATATCATTTTACAGATTTTATAGATGGAGTAGATTTTTTTTGTTTAAAACTTTTCTCTATTAACTTACATTTTACCCACAAATTTAACTCATATTGACTTAAATTTGGGTCTCTTTATATAACGGTGTAGACCAAATTAACTCATTAGTGTGTGGAGGTCAGTTCAGTGGACATCCATTAAAAAGCTGTTTTTCCACTAAATGCAAAGGTTTGGGGGTTTTAATTCCACATCCGCCACTTGGGTAAACATTTCTCCCTATGTGCTGCCACCTACTGGTCAGGAGGTATAACTGTATCAGAAATTCTTGTAAATGCAAATCCTTAAATATTAAAAAGGTGATTTTTTTTATTAACGAGTAACAACTAAAAAACATAACATTAAAATTCTAAAACTGATTTTTCACTAAATTGGTTTCTCATTTAAAACTCCCATGAGAAACCTTTTGTCAGTGTTGACTTTGGCGCCCCCTGTGGACAAAGTTGTAACCTTTAAACAATTGCTGATTTTACCTTATCCTTATGAGAGTGGTGATAGTGATTAAAAACAAATCTCTCCCTCTCGTCTTTGATCAAACACAATGAATATTCTCTCCAGGTAAAGTAAGTAAGGCTGTTTTCTCAGCGTACAGAAATTATTGATATTTTCATGAATTTTTTTATTATTAACTTGAAAACAGCAAACCCTCAAAACTTTTTTATGCTTAAAAAAAATCATAAAAATAATTGGAAATTTTTATCTACGACATATGTTCTTTTCACGTACCTTGATATGTTGTAGCAGAATCCCCTGCCTTCCTCAGAAGCTCTCACACACCTGGAGCAGCGACCTGCAGAGGCGAACAGCAATAATCGTTAATTTTGTATTTATGTGACGCTAACTTCTGCGGAAACTCCTGCAACTTTCGAGTAGATTAGGACTTACTTAGTAGAAAACATCAGGACAATATTTTGCTCCAATTTCTGAGGCAACACTAGACCAAAAAACATCACAAAACATTAAGAAAAAGAGGGACTACTTTCAATTAATTCAATTTTTTTTTTAAATGTGGGTTTTATTCATTCAGTGGTGTCTTTGAGGAGGCACATGCTGAAATCCTGGATGTGACACTCTGAACCTCTCATCTGGAGTATGTTTAAGCTGCTTCTTGACAGAGATGACTACAGGGGAGAAAGAAATATTTGTATGTCCTCGTTTCAACAAAAATTTGGCCCAGATCTCTTACGAATGTTCTCAGCATTCAGCCCGATGTAGAGCAGTAGGTTATAATAGTCCAACATTCGTGGAAAGGTTGTGAAAAACTCTGATTTACCTCTTTTTTTTCCCCCTCATCTCTGACATTTTGCTTCTCCGTCTTATTGGCCTCTTCGGAGCTGTGATGCAAGTTCAGCGGACGGTCAGGGTGAGAGGAGAGGGGTGAGCGTCCTCTGATCAGCTCATGGTGGCAGATCCCCGCAGGCCGAAAAACGGAATAAACCACGAGCTGCATGAGGAAGACGAGGGTATGACGGCAGCCAAAAGGGGGAAAAAAGAGAGAAAGAGCAAATCAGAGATGAGCGAGGAAGATGTAGGAAGAGTGTATAATCTATCTTACATAAAGAGTAAGACTCTGCTGTGATGTTGAAGCTTGTTGAATCTCTGTTTTTATCTGAGAGTCTGTTTTTAGCTGTTTTCTGTGTCTTTAGAGGTTCTTATGCTGCGTTCCAGTTACCTCAGGAGTCGGATGTCGGGGCTGGAAATGACGCTACACCTGAGTTGACGGCGTTCCAGTAAACAAGTCGGAAAAACAAGATGGACGCCTACTGTTCGCCGTTGTTAACTGTTGTTTACAATTGTCAGCTGTCGTTAGCGGTTGTCAGTTGTTGTTAGTTGTTGTTAGCGATACAAGCTGTGAACAACGCGAAACACCGTATCGTATTCTACAAACACCACAGCACCGTGTTCACAGTTAGACATTGGGCAGAACAACAAAAAACACTTATTTAATTTTACAAAAACAAAACAGAAGTGCTAATAAATAAAACATTACGAGAACTTTTACTGTTACTCTTTACTGTTGGCGCACTACGCTGCCATCTTGGGTTATGATGCTGTCGTCAAGTCAGGGTTGGCGAGGATCGTCCGATTCTCCGAGTCAGAAATTCAAGGGGCGTTCCAGATGAATTTCCAACTCGGAGCTCGGAAATTCCAACTTCTATATACAACTAGAACCAGTTTTGTTTTCGTTGACGATGACATTAACGAAAATATGTCGTCAACGTCATCGTCAACAAAAACAATACTGCAGAATACATGTTAAGCGTTTGACTGACGAAATGCTCATGAATTTCGCAACTTTTTTCGTCTAGTCTCGTCATCGTAAACGCACATTCCTCTCGTCACATTTTAGTCATCTAAGACTTGTGTTTAGCTCGTCAACGTCACGTCTTCTTCATGGAAAAACGAAAACAACACTGACTGGAACGCAGAGTTAGAGAAGTCTCTCTGTTCAGTTTCTGCATCGTCTGCCTCAAATCTCTGTGTCTCAGACATTAAAATTATTCATAAAAACTCTCTATATAGTCGCTGATGGTCTGATTTGCTTTTGGCATCAATATGAATTTCAGCCTGTTTAATAAATATCAAAAATCCCTCACTGGAGCTTTAAAGTTGACCTCTTTTTGGCTCCATCACAGATACTTGTTCCTTTTCTTTCTTTATTTTTGCTTCGCCACCTTAGATACCTTTAATCAGCTTTTGGTCATGTGACTGACAACCTTTCACTTTAAACAGACGTCAAGTCCAGGGAACAGCGACGAGGAGTGTGTGTTTGCGCAGATCTGAGGTCAGCTGTAGGGAGTGAAAGCTTTAATCCCCTTTCACTCCCGACGACATGTCTTTAACTGTCGAACTGCATCATATGAACACGTTTACATCCATGTCCGCTCCTGTCAGCTCCTCTCCTCCTTCTTCTCCTCCTCCCACATTCTCATCTCTTCTCCGTTTCATAGTTTGTCATTTTGAATCCCTTCACACTCCCCTGTTCGCTTTTGCTCCTTGTAGTGGTCCTTGTAGCGCAGCGTGTAAGGGGGGGGACTTTGTCCTCATTGGGAGGGTCATCGAGTCAGTGTGTACCATCATATCTGCCCAATTAATCAAAGTGGATCACGTAATCACAGCTGAGAGATTCTCTGGATGCCCGGCAGCGGGGGTCAAAAGTTCACTGAGGATGAGCGCCCTCTGGTGGGGAACACAGAGTCCCATCTGTACACCGTGTACTCTCCGCTCTCTCTCTGCAGTGTTTGGCTTATTATTTATCGCATGCAGATGTATACGCTGCACATATGCATGCATGCATGAATGTACACCCCTGGGCGGTGTTTATTTTCATGTATTTCCATCATGCTGCGCCTCTTTTTTTTACATGTCGGATTTTTTTTTTCTGCTTTTAACGCTGTCTCGTCATGTGCACTGACACACAGAGAGAGAGAGGGAGAGAGAGAGAGAGCCTGATCCAGCAGATCCTTGGACGTTTTTTTCACCTTATCCAAGCTGCGTTATATAAGACTGACAAAAAAGATTCGTACGAACGACAAGCGGGGAATTACAACTTAATAGGCACACAAATTTCTGCAGAGACACACACCGTGAACAAGAGAGTTTTCTTGTTACCTCATCTAAACTTCTTACTTTCTTAATCTCTTGATAACAAAAAAGAACAAGCTGCACCGCGTTTGGGTTCAAAATGTTCAAGTTTGTGCAGGATACACACGACAAACACACACTGTGCTCCCCCTCCAGGCACCCGTAGAATATTCTATTGAAAAACACTTAAACTCAATACCGTTCAATCTCTCGTCCCGGCTGCACATTTGGATGCGAAAGCTAATCCAGGAAAGCCGTCTGGCACCTTGTAACACACCTTGGAAATCTTGTTTTCTTTCACCTTTCCTCTGGGATCGTACGGCAGGAACTGTTATTCCGTCTCAGGTTTATCTCCATTACCCTCATGAAAGTTTGATGGGCCGGCAGAGAGCGGGAATCACAGCTCTGGGTGGAGGTGAGGAGCAGATTAAAGATTAATTGTGTATGTATAATGAAGTCGATCTTGGAAGTGGCTGTTTTTCGCTCAGGTCAAGTGTGTGATTAAAAATGGGGGGTACAAGTGAGGGGTGGCCTAAATAACCAGAGTACTGTATGAATGAGGACTGGGAGCTGAAGTAGAGCAGCTAACAAGATAAATGACACAAACAGAGGAGCTTTAAGTTTTATTTTGGGGTTAATATCATGAAATTGGTAGAAAAAGTGGGGAGTATTTTGGGGAAGTAGCTGCAGTAAGGACAAAACCTCCATTTATGGGGCATGTGCTTTAACTGTTAAGCCTGTGGTGCCCCCTTTTAAACAGGTTTTTGTCGCCCCTAACCAACAAACTCTTGGTTTGTGCTTGTTTTGGCGCCCCCTTGTGGACAAAGCAGAATCTTTTTCTCATTGCATCTCCTCCACTGTGAAAGTTTAAGCACTAATAAAGACACCAGCGTCTGGACGCGCAGATGGCTGAGCGGGTTAGTGCGCCTCACGTATAGACTGTATATACTATGGACAACTTAGTTCCGCCTTCCGCCAGTATACGAATTTGAAGCCGAAGAGCTCTCGGCAATCCTGTGATTTTTCTTAATTTCCTGAAACCAACATTGCGCAGTAGCGTTGTACGCATTTGGTGAGAGAGTTGCCAAAGTCGCTGTGATGACGCTCGGCTCAAACAGCGTATCCCCCGGGTGAGCTATGCAATCTTCATAGACCCATAGGCTGTATCAGGTGTCAATCATAGAAAACATGAACCCCCTAATAACTTTTAAAAATGGAGCTTCATAGAAAAAAGAGGACTTGAGCACAAATCAGTCTTACAAGAACTACATGTCAACATCACAACCAGGGGGAGAAAAATTTATATTCTGTGTAATTAATTTGTAAAATTTGCACATAGCTCCATAGGGATTGCTGGAGGAGGCGGGATTTATGACCTATACTGCAGCCTGTCACCAGAGGGTGCTGTTCTTAGAGTGGCTTCACCCAGCGAAGAGGCAGATGCTGTCCATTCTATGTACAGTCTATGGTAGCCCCTAACCAACAAACTCTTGGTTTGTGCTTGTTTTGGCGCCCCCCACTCATCCACAGTGAAAGTTTTAAGCACTAATAATAAATAAACGGTCAATCTTGCCGCTGACTGATTTTTCTGCTCTTACTGTACAGGGCTCGACAGTGCGACCATTTCACTCGCGTTTACGACTAAAAGTAGATGTGTGTGAATTGTAAAATGTATTTAGGGGCACATGTGCACATAAAAAAATCAGCTGAGGCAACAAATGTTTTTTCATGTAAATACTGCGAGTACACGTCGGGTGTTGAATAAGGGACCGTTAATAAATTATCGATTGATGTTCTCAAAAAAGGCTGTTTTCCTTCAATAGCTTCCATGTCATGTGACCAACTGACCTAAAATTCATTTCAAATAATTGTACTAAGGTCGGACGATAAGACACACCTCTTTATTTCCCTAATTTGTCTTCTAAAAAATGTTTTATGTTAACTTTACAGGCAAATTCTGAACATTTTCTTTAATATCTTCCATGTCATGTGACCAAAAGACCTCAAATTGATTTCAAATAGGAGTACTTATGTCAACCAATGAGACACACCTCTTTTTTTGATCAATTTTCATTGTGCCCCTAAAGTTCTTTGGGTGCTCCTTAGTGTCAAGCTCTGTCTTAAAAAGTCACTAGCATCAATTTCAGAGTTTCGTCACCATGAAAAAATAAAAAAAAATAAAAAATAAAAAAACGCTTACAGGAGCTTTAAAGAGGCGAAAACTTCCACTCCTGCTGCAGCCTGAGGCCAGCTTTAACAATACATGCGGCTATTTTTGGTTGCTCAATCGGACGCTCGGTCGGCATCGAGTGCTACATGACAGAGCGCGCTGTTGCTTTGATGCAAAAACAGCGACATAACCGCCAAACCAAAAGAGACAGTCGCTCAAAACAACCAGTCACGTTCGTCTCTGTGTTTGTCGAGTGTCAAAGCCTGCAGCCTGCATGTTGTAGCCCGTGGAGAGCATGCAGAAGTGGGCCTTGTGGTGACTGTAGCATTACTGTGACTCACTTCATGCCCCTAAGCTGTTAATGCATATATGCAGCCTAGTCTGTCAAACTGGGTCTAAAGTCAGTTCAGCTCTGTGTGTGAGTCACATGTAGCAGGTTAGGCCGTTTCACTCGTGTTTGCTGAAGACGGCAATAGTCTAAAGTGAGATTTATCTTGGATGGAGATCAACAACTGTCCGTGTCGTCACACAGAGAGGAGCTCAGAGCGCAGTTTATCCTCTATAGTTTCAATATACAGGATGTGTACGAACCGCTGCAAAGCCCCAGAGCCTGTGCGCCGAGTAAACCGTTCAACCCTCGCCGCTAAGTCGGCCCCACATCATAAAAAATGCAAACAGTGGCATATGGTGTGCCAAGCTGCGTTAGAGGCAGTGCAGCAGCAGCAGCAGCAGCAGCAGCAGCAGCAGCAGCGGCCCATACACTCATAAATCCATATCCATTACTGACATTTCTGCTTTTTCAAAGGCAAAGGTCAAGAGTTCACATCCCGTCACACAGGAGAAACCCCTCAACATCTGCTTCTGTTGCCATGGCAACTGGCTGCTGCCGCCGCCGCCGCCGCTGCCGCTGCCTGACAAATGAAGAGGGAAAGAAGTCGAAAACCAGAGAGAGGGGTTACAGGTTTTTTTTTCAATAGCTGCAGGTGTAATTTAATGCGTTCTGACGCCAACCTAAGAGCAGCGACACCCTCTTTTCAGCAGCACTGCAGGTCTTCGTCTTCAATCCTCTCACACATCTGGACTATTAAAAGTGTTTTACACAGGCGTCAAAACACATAATATTCACCTGCTCCCGAGGGGACCGAGGTGTCCAGAGGTGGCCGGTGTTCAACGCTGCGCAGAGGAAATCCACAGGAAGACTGACAAACAGAAAGAGAGGAGGAGAGAGTTAGCGCTCCAGACAAATCACTGAATTTACGGAGAAGACGGGCTGATACGACTGTTTCAACTTTGAACTGAACTTTCTGTTTTAAAAACCAAGATACAAAGGATAGAGTTAGAGGGTTAGGGAGTTAAGGGGTTAGAGTCGAGGTTAGACCTGGATTTCAGATAGGGTTAGGGGTTTTGAGTTAGGATTTAGGGTAAGGGTAAAGATTAGAGGGTTAGGGTCAGAGTTAGAGTTCGGGTTACAGAGAGTGTTACAGTTAATGTTTTATGAAAATTCACTTTAAAATGTAAATATTTTTGATTTTTTAATCTGACACATGTCCCATCTGTTTACATGGAGGACACAGCTCTTAGACATGGACTGCAGCAGTTCAGTGACTGGATTTTGGTTAGAGTTCGGGTTACAGAGAGTGTCACTGTTCATGTCTTATAAAAAATCACTTAAAAATGTTAATATTTTTGATTTTTTAATCTGAAGCATGTCCCATCTGTTTACATGGAGGACACAGCTCTTCGACCAGTAGATGAGTGACAGGTGTTTTGTACAGTTTGGCTCTTTTTTCAGTTATTAAATGATTTTTTTTTTTTCAGATTTAAACCAAAATTTTCCTCCTGAAGAAGATTTCCAAATCCCCTCTTTGCCATTTCGCGTCCTCTTACACCTTAAACATTAAATGTACAGTTCCCCTGTTTCCATATTGTCGTTTCATGGAGTATAAATTTCTCTCACTGCGAGCATCACTGAGTCTGCGAGGCAAACTGTAATCATATCAGCTGTAGGAAAAAGTCCTCGACATTTCATGTGAGCTGGTTTACAAGGAAAAAAGAAAACCAAAGGGAAAATAAAAACTCACTTTCACACACAGAAACTATAAAAATTGAAAAGATTAGAGTTAAGTCAACCAAACTTGTCCTGGCATCTAAACCTTGTCAGTCAAATTTTATTCATATAGCTCCAAATCACAACAGTCGTCATCTCAAGACACTTTCCAACCACAGTCATTGTTTGATGAATTACCAAGACCCAAACTTAAGATGGGACAGATTTGACCCATCTCATCCAACATGAGTGACAGTGGCGAGGAAAAATAAATAATAAAGTTTCACCTCTGCCTGTTGACACTGTGGCAAAAGTTCAGATCTTGTGGTCACGGATGTGGGAGCAGTCTCCTGGTAGGGTCCTGTTGTGTAATCCAGGGACCTGCATTTGTTCCGGACAACAAAAAGTACTTGAGTTATCTTTTATTATAGATAAGGGATTATTACAGATATACGGATTTCTCTGCTGAATTCCTGTTATCCTTCATTAATGAAGAATAAGCTGCACTTTAAGTTGCAGGTGCTCTACAAGTACCTTGTTTGTATCGTACCTGAACACGTGGAAGGAACACAAGTGAAGCAGCGGGCTTTTAGCATGACCTCGCAAGTGTAGTTGTAACATCAATTTTAAATGTCGCTTGTATGTTGTTTTTATTTCAGGAACACTGACCTGGATTTAAACCTTAGGCACCGAGGACGACAAAATAAAAACCTCAAAGACAGACGGACAGAAGAGGACGTTTATCTCCGTTATTGACTTCATGAATTAAATTATATAAGTAATACGCCTGAAGATGAATTCGGTTAAACTGCTTTACTGTGAAGCACACACTCATGTTCAGGCTGTTTTAAAGGCACACATACATATATAACACTAATGCATCTGTGAGGGTTTGTGTTTCATATGCATGACTGCAGAGCCGATTCAATTAAAAAATTAAAATATACAAGAGGGAGGAAAATCCTCTTCTTCTTTCTAAACATAGCAAATAAAATTACGTCATTACAATCATTTTTCAGTCTTTTAATTTATATTAATTTTTTTCTCTATTTGACTACTTTGTAAAAAAAAAAATATAAGCTCCCCCCACTGGAAAACAAATTGATCAATTAAACAAATTACTACTTAAATTAGCTGTTTGCAGTTTTTTTTCCCCCTTCCTCTTACAAACTGCATCCAAATTTGAAATTAATTTCTCTAAATCTGTTTCCAAATTAACCAGAGGGTTAATGCAGGGCTATTAGAGGAACATTTTTCTCAGCATCACATTAATTTAATTTCATGTTTAACAGTACGCACAGGAGATAGGAATAATAACAATAATAATGATGATGACAGTTTTAAAAAAAAGGCAGCAATTAGGGAGCGCAGTAGTGGTTCTGATAGAGAGATGAATTATTCATGAAATCAGTGATAAGAAGAATGAAAGGATCAGCATGCCCATCCATCGAGGAGGGGGACGTATAAAGACGGGACGCGCGGGTGCTTTTTCTTAGAGGACACACACACACACTTGGGTCGTCTGCTGCTGTATAGGGGATAGAGCTGCACAAATCAGGTAATTTATAACATTTTATTCTGTGAAAGCTACAATTTTTAAAGAGTTGCATTCAGAAAACAGATTTTTTTTTTTTAAATAATGACATTTTTAGCATTTTTTGTGCAATATTTTGTATTTTTTACACACTATTTTGTAAATAAATTTAAAAAATTTGCTTAAATTATAAATTTTCAGCGCTGTAGAAATCTCATATGGAAATTCATATGTTTGATCGCATGCTACAGCTTGTTAATTTTTCATTGATGTTAAAAAATTCAAACCGCTTTAGAGACGACTTAGTCAAGTGGAATACAAGCGATGATTGCTTTTGATTTCGCTTTAAATGCCTCTAAAAATTAAAAAAAAATCTTCTTCATAACTGTTTGTATCTCTACTTTTTCATCCATGCAGGGAAACTTAGAAATCATCCACTCTCTCCACAGCATATCCAGATCCTCCATCCTGAACAGGGCCGGCTCTAGGACCCAGCAGCCTCAGCGTGGCCGGGTCCCTGTGCGCGGTGCATTCACAGTTCACAGGCATCTCGACCTAAATGCGATGTGACGGGAGAACCTTTACTGAAACAAACGGGAATATAGTATCAGGGAAGGCTGACCGAGCTGTGAACCGAGGCCCTAACACAGAGCAAATTAACATCAGCAGAAATAGCTCAGCGTTTTCAGATCGCTTATGTGCCAGGCAGCAAATGCATCAAGCGCTGTCAGGTCATTTTAGCCTGCAGATATGGTACAAAAACAGGTCGATGTTGGGAGGAGGGGGTCGTCCTCGAACTCTGACCGCCCAGCTGGACCAGCTCCGGAGGTGCTTCTGTTTTGTGTCCTGCGGGCAAACGTCTCCGGGCCCGAGCTTTCAGTCGCGCTTTCCTCCATCATGAGATCTCTTTCTTGGTGTCTAAGCAGAGCTGAGCCGCCTAATGATGCTATCTTTGCCCCTGCCTGGCTGAGAGCGCCGAGGGAAGCTGACACATCTACGAATTTGATTTTTAAGGCCACAAACAGGCTTCTCCGCGCATCAGTTTATAAATCGTGGTCGCGCAAGGTCAACTCTTCAAACGCATGACAGTGATGTACAGCTGTCAGAGCAGATCTTCGCTCCCTGACTTACTGATTGTCTATCACAGGCCAGATGCCAGTTGGGGGGCTGTAGCAGCAGCTGCAGCAGCAGCCTGTAAATGCCTGGTGGTGTATGTGTTTGTCAGAAAAATCTGAAGAAATGTCGTCATAGAAAATATACTGGATATGTAGGTAGACTCGTACAAAATGATCCTTTTCTTACATCATGTAGGAGCTGAATTTGGAGAGACTGTTTTTTCCTGTATTTGGAAAGTAGGTGTGCTCTCTTCTCAGCCGACAGAATGAGGAGTTAGAGTTCATAATGTCCTAACATTAAAGGGACATTCCGGCGTAAAATTAATTTAGACAACCCCTTCGAGAGATGAATGTTGCTGACTGCTTGCTTCTTTAGTTAAACCAACTTTAGTAACGACCGCACGATAGCAATACACAGCGGTCTGAGGAGCCATAAACAAACCTCAACCAAAATGCCACAAATAATGTTCAGAACAGCACCTAACTTCATCAACAGGACATTTAGGGTCCCAGCCATAGTACTAGCCACCAAACATTTTTTTAGCTTTGCCTGATTTCTTTAGTAAAGAGACTAAACACAACTTACCTACTCTCTTCCAGCAGCCGCTTGTTTGTAGGGAGACCTCAGGCCAGTTCATCACTGACTACAGCGGAGTTTCACAGCTCAAGGAAGAACATTTATGATCATCAAGGCAGAAGACCTACCGGGTCTGCAGTGCAAAATGATTGATATGTTGATTATAACTACAAGGAAATGATGAAGAAATGATCATAAATGTTCTTCCTTGAGCTGCGTCACCCCGCTGTAGTCCGTAATGGACTGGCCTGAGGTCTCGCTACAAACAAGCGGCTGCCGGAAGAGAGTAGGTGAGTTGTGTTTAGTCTCTTTGCCAAGCCAAGGCCAAAGAGTGCAGTTCCTCAAATGTCCACTTGATGCTTGATCCAAAAGTCAAAGAATTCTCATTGGGGGCCATGTTAAAATGCTCATTTCATCAGAACAGTTAAACATGTTTGGAGTCCGATACGAAAAATAAAAGTTTTTTGTCTTTGTTAAAAAAAACTGTCCTGATGCAATTTTTGTGACTCAGCATCTGGGTCATGCAAAGACCATAGACTGTATATAGAATGGACGTCATCTGCCTCCTCTCTCGTTGAAGCCTAGCGAGAACAGCACCCCCTGGTGACTGGATGCAGTATAGGTCATAAACCCTGCCTCCTCCAGCAAAATAAATAGAGCTGTGAAAAAAACTTTATTCTCCTCCCTGGTTGCGATGTTGGCGTTGTTAAGTAGGCAGGTCCACTTAAACCGCTGATGTACCGTCCTGAACGTGAAGTCCTCTGAGTTTCCCAGATCTAGCACTCGAAGGAACATGCTTTGTTTTTAGAGAGCTTAAAACAGAAACCAACCCAAAAATAGTGAGAGGAGGACGTGCCGAGGAGGAAAACTCCACCAGGCGGGGGGTTGGGGGGTGAGTCAACCTGCCCCCCTTTACCGTTTCACAGCCCATTAGGTCAGAGCGGAGCAGGGAGCGCGGCTCTCAGCCTGCCGGTGTAATATTGGCGAGGACACAGCTGAGGGAAGGACCGGGGAGGTTTTTAAAAGCTTGTGATGTTCGCTGTGTGGGTGAGGTGAGATGTCATTTCCTCTCACTGCCTGAGAGCACCGTCGCACTGATATAAAAGCATGCAGCTCCTCGGCAGCAGCTGGAGGATGAAGGGGAGGATGAGGAGTGATTGTCCAAATGTGGGCAAAGAGAGCCGGTATTTATAGTAACAGATTATGCAAGTTTACAGTACTTCCAACATCTAAAATATCCGTTTGAAGAGGCTTTTGTGAAGTTTGCAGTTTACAGGTACAACACCACCAAAGATCAACAATCTGATTATGATTTCACGCCGCTCTTCAAAGATGTTTAGCCCTTCAAATAAACCAAAGAGATAATATTTATATATATGTTAAAAAGCACCCGTAAGGAAGCAAAAAATATAACTCTCTCTCATGAATTTGTCCGTATTGTGTGGAATAAATGCTCCTGTCCTCCTCCTCTGACTTGTGCATCATTGTACAACCGCTCTGATTAAACTTTCAACCTCTTAGAGCGCCGACAACCGCTGCTTAGATAACTGCGTTGCATAACAAAAAGGTTTTTTTTTTTTTCATTTGTGGTTGTAAAAGGACTCTGTGTACTTTATTAAGTACGTGTGCCACTTCTGTCATTGCGTCGCTCGTACTGTGTTTCCGTTAGTGCTGATCCCTGTTTTAACACATGTAGATAATGTTACGATGTTGGATGTCCATTAGAAACACTGACACAGTTTCATAACACGAGATACAAAGAAGGACATTGTTGAAGGACGTTTGGAAAGTCTATTTCACTGCTCAGCTTTTTCCTCTGCTCTGCACTTTTTTGATCCACTATGTCCCAGAAAGTTACTCATGAATGTTTCCTTGGTTGTGAAGGAGAGTCTCCGTCCACTTTGAAGCCAAAAGAGCAAGAGCTCCCCCTAGTGGCTAGCTGCAGTAAAGGCCATAAACCTCATTTCCTAGATGGGAGAACAACCAAACTCTAAAATCTCATGCCGCGTTCCAGATGTATTCGGAAGTCAGATTTCCAACTCAGAAAGTCGGACGATCCACAACAACCCCGACTTGACGACAACATCATAATTCAAGGTGGCAGCGCAGTGCATTAACAGTCAAGAGTTACACTCAGTATGTTTACATGACACTCCAGAAAACCGAATTATTGCCTTACTCTGATTAAGACCAGACAACTGAAGTGCATGTAAACATCTCAATCTATAATTGAAGTTTGAGTACTCTGATTAAGACACCCAGAAAATTGGTATTGGAATTCGATTTTCTCTACCATGTAACTAGCGTAGTCAGAGTATGATCGGACAATGCATGCCACGCCCCCGTAACCCCAAAACAAAAACACCAAAGAAGAGGAGTAGCGTGCATTTCAACTGCAGAAAAATTAGCGCGTCCATCATGTACTGACAACAGCTAACAACGGCTAACAGTAGGCGTCTGTCTTGGTTTTCCGACTTGTTAACTGGAACGCCGTCAACTCGGGTGTAACGGTATTCCCAGCTCCGACATCCGACCTTTGAGGTAACTGAAACACAGCATAAATACCAGCCAAATCCAACTCCTCTCAAACTCTTTTCTTTTGTGATGATAGCAGGTTTACCGAGAGGTTTAGATTTTCATAGTAATTTGATTTTAGACTCAAACTGTCCATAACTGTGAGTGCTTCAGTCAGTCAAGAATAAAGGCCGTAGCTGCTCGTTGTGCCAGGCGATAAACTTTATTTATGCTTTATTGATGCTTTATTATAGACGCGAGTGAGAGCTCCTGGTGGTCATTTGCGGAACTGCACTCCCAAATTGGCTTTATTATTTGGTGCAGGAGATTTCTGTTAAATTTCAACAAGATGGGCCATCGGCTAAACTGACATTTTCCACAACTTTGTAAAGACACTGAGCTTTCCTAACAAACACCTTCGTACCCACAAAAGAGTCATTTTCACCCACTTAAACACACACACACATAAACACTCAACACAACAGCTTTGTAAGTCCTTTTTCTTCATCTCCAGGAAGGAGACTCTCAAACTGTTTTCAAGTATCATCTTTCATAACCCGCTCTGTGACCTTGTTGTACGTGTGTTTGTGGTTTTACATGACAGTGTATCTGTTGTCAAACTCAATCCTCTCCGGTCGCGTTCATATTTGCATCTCTTTCCTGTTCCTCCACCTCTAAGCGTCTCCAGGGGAAATTCCTCATTGCTCCTAAATCTCTGAACCTCTCAGGTGATACTGACCCCCTTAACGCCCCCTCTTTGTCCTGTGCCTTTAAGCAAACGGCCTCTCAGGACGCTTTAAAACCTCCTCTCTGCACATTAACATTATCTGAGGTGAGAGGACACCTGAGAACCAGAGGAGCCAGACTCCGGTCCGAGGGTGTGACTCAACCCTGATTCCTCATCGCCCATGACTTCTTTTCACACTTCCGTACCGATTGCGAGGGCGACCTTAGGTCAAGTGCTCGGAGAGGTGACACTGAGCATGCTCATGGCCCGGCTTTATGGGTCATGTCTCTCTCCCTGAGGGCGAACAAACACATAACAGAACGCATGAGGGCCTCGAACGTCCACACTCGATGAAGACTGGCAGATGTGAACGCATGAATCCACAAATGTACCCCATCCACACATTATCAGATTAGATTAAATAACAGCATATAAGGGAGAACATACAGTCTAACACACACACACATGTATCTAGTGATAGAGAGTACATCTGACAGTATGGGAGCCATATGTTACAACTAATATACTTACATCTAGTGTGTGTGTGATAACAGCCAAACACTTGAAGCTGTGTGAACATGTTAAAAACACATCTGGCATTGTCACGGATACAAATACTCACACACTCATGAGATAGAAGAGCATCTCTCTCACACACACACACACACACACACACACACACATACAGCACAGTAGGTATCTGCATGTAGACATGCAGAGGGTGCTGATACAACCCAAACATGCCAGGAGTGATCAAACTCCACAGACCCCCAGGAAAGAAGACCAGGACCAGGAGGGTGGCAGACCTGGGAGCTGGCTCAGTGGGGGGGTGACAGACACACACACACACACACACACACACACACACACACAGAGTTAAATCGCATGTCAGTCTGAGCTCACACAATAAAAAAATAAAGTGTTTAACTTAAAGCTCCTGTAAGTATCTTTATGTTTATGAAA